GGGGGAATTTGTCATCTTCTGGGGGCGGTGGGGTAGCCTAGTGGTTAAAGCGTTGGCTCGTCACGCCGAAGGTCCGGGTTCGATTCCCCACATGGGCACAATGTGTTAAGCCCATTTCTGGTGTCCCCCGCTGTGATATTGCTGGAATATTGCTAAAAGCGACGTAAAAGTAAACTCAGTCAGTCAGTCAGTCAGTCAATCATCTTCTGATGACTCTTGTTTCGTCTTGCTCGTGTTATAGAGCAGCGGACGTCGGTCACATGGTGGAATCAAGATCATGCTTGACCCGCGGAAAGCTGAGTGTCATAGTTTTGAGCGGTTTCTCTCAATTTATGTTGGAGAGTAATGGACTGAATACTAAAACCCGCTTCCGTGTAATAACGTTTTTATGAAACTCGTGAAAGATTTAGCATCAAAATCGCTTTCACTCCTTTGTCGCCACATTATTAACTCATTTAATAAAAATGGTATTATATGGAAGTTTCTGTTGTATGGTCTATATATACTCGGCGCTATTAATGAAGGGTCAAGCTATTGGCAAAACTATTTCTTAAAAGTTTTAAAATCTTCGTTTTTTGTTTGAAATATGTACAACTGGGTGATTTACAAACTTTCTTAACAATATGAAAAAAACACGCCAGGCCGTTGAAATGTCATTATTACGTTCTTAAAACGTCCGATACATTCTGTTACAAATGGCACAATTTTTATTCATATTGTCAATATGGAAATGCATCTACCGCTTAATTTGCACGTGCAAGTCGCTCTATCGCCTGGAGGAAAGTACTGGAAAGTGGAGGACAATACACATGCATTGATGCTTTTTCACTGTTCAGGTACCTATTTGAAATCGCAGCTTAAAATGATACGTTTTTTTGACACTTGCTGAAATTGATTAGGCTATAGGACTTTTGGAATCTGGTCAAACTCAGCGGCAGGTTGCTGTCCGCTTTAGTGTGAGTCAGAGTGATATTAGTAGCCTGTGGCAGAGATTTCAAGCCAATGGGTCCAATGAACACTTCAATGATAACAATACAAGAATATCCATTAGCACCGTTCGTTGAGGTTGAAGGGCAGCTGGCTCCGCTGTAGTTGACCTGCAGTTCGTCCACCACTAACACCACGTCACAGGCAGGCGCGTTTGAGATGGACATCATGGCCGCTGGAATCAACGACAATGGTCTCGTGTGCTCTTCACAGATGAAAATAGATTCAGTTTGTCCTTCCATGGTGGTTGGCAGAGGATTTATCGTAATGGAGAGCGAATCAGAGATGAAACTGTGGCCACACATAAGCGATTTTGCGGGGGACGGTCATGGTTTAGGCAGGGATAACTCCTACTGGACGTACTCCACTGCACGTGGTCGACAGTAATCGTACCGGACAGCGTTATCGGGACGAGATTCTGGCTCCTATAGCAGTACCATTCCTGCAAGCTATACATGGCTTTTATGGTCGACAACGCTAGGCCTCATAGCAGCAGGGTGTAGCGGATGGAGTGGCAGCATGCTTGCCAGTCCTCAACACGTGTACACACGTCACCCAGCACCAGTAGATCTTTCACAGTTTCATCACATGGCAAGTCACTCTCCCCTTTCCGTACCTCCAAGCAGACTCATCCCCCATCGATGCCTGTTATGTGCGAAAATACAACAAACCAATCAGAACGCATGTAATGATTGCGGTGCTTTGATAAAAATAATCCCGACTACATAAATCGTTTATGGCATTATGGTATTGTTGTGACTATAAAGAGTCAGCGATTTGATGGGACATAATATATTTTTAGTCAATGAGCTACCTTGCTCTTTTTCATTGCAGGGCAGGTTAAGGCCAAGGTCGTCAATGGCGAACGGGCACGACACAAATTATTCTGTTTGCGATGAAATAATGTACGTAAACTCATTATGACAGTGAGATGTAAGTGTCTCCGAAAGAATAGCAACTAGCGCGCTGACAGGCGCCATCAGTTCAACGTGTTTTGGTGCATGTCATTTGTGTATACTGTGATATAAACAAGAAAATGGGTAAGTTACCGCTACAAATTCTGAGCCGAGATTTTGGCTCGGAATCGAGAAATCACGATTTTTCGAGCTTCCGAAGACCCTAGCTCCCAAAGTACTGCTTCGATTTTTGTGCTGTATGTCTCATTTTGTAGGTAAATCTATTGGCTTGAAATGTGTGCATACTTTAAATGGATAAATACAGTGTGTATTGTTGAATTCGCCCTGAAACGAACGTGGTGTGTTGACCTCGTTACATCCCTTTCCTGTTATTTAGTACTAAGACCCCGCCAGTGACAGTATATACCTTGATGGCAGTTTTTAGCGTTACAAGCCCCTGTGAAATATGTATCGTCATATTGAAAGTACTAACAACGTAGCTCACAGAATTGTGCTGTCTAATGTGAAGTTTTTGAAGAATCATGCTATTGACGGTGAGAGATTCAAATACTAGAACGTGCGTTTGTTGACATAATGGCTCTCATGGGTCCAATTGAGTGTATTTCTGACGATCTTTCGGGTTTCTTGTGGAGATTGTGCGTGGGCTTCAAACAGTTTTAGGAAATGTAATCATAAATCGCTCTGAGTTTCTAAACAATAAGATTAGATCTATAACTGCATGTATCTAATCAACTTTAACCTTTTACATTGGGCTTATATGTCACATCTCTGGGAATATTTTAGACTGACTTTTTTTGGTCATTCATATATTTTTCAGCGAATTCACTTAAAATTCCACTTAGGGTATGACAGCAAGGTTACACGAATGTTCAGTTTGAGAATTTTTTTAAAGTCATATTTAAGTTTCAGCTTTGGGATTTAATGCAGCTTTTATAAATTTTATGTACATGTTCAATAAAACAATCCCATTTGTGATTATTAAACCCTATTTAGAAATATAATTGGAAATATAAGGTGAACATCTGGTAATAATTACGTCAGAATAATGCCTGTAACAAATACGTTTTTCTCCTTCTTTTTGTTGTATCAAAGAGGTTTAATTCTTTAAAAACATAAACACCAATACAATGTATGATTACTACGGTGATATTAAGTACCATTGGAATCAAACAGGAATAGAGTTATCGTTCCTGTCTAAAGTAGTTCTGATTTCCATGCGCCAGTATGAAATCCTTCATATCCCTTTTAAGGTGGGCGTAGTGTCATCTTAATTAAATAACCTTTTAAAATTTATGAACTAACTATATTTGTGTTGGACACACTGGTCACTAATGTTTGTGGCAGACTATACTGTTGTTTCGTTGATCTTAAAGCTACATTGGATTCCATCAATAGAACAAGTTTGGTGTATAAACTTTGGTCTGGCAATGTGAAAGGTATTTTTTTTAGATTAATTAAATCTATGCACATAATTGTTCAGTCATGAATATCATTGCAAGATGGCTACACGCAACTGTTTGATTGTGTGAGCGGAGTAAAACAGGGTTGCCAAATATCACCACTGCTATTATCATTGTATGTTAATGATATGACTGAATTTCTTGATGTTAATGAAGAGAGATGACCTTGGTCTTGACTTTTCATGTTACTCTTCGATGATGAAAAATGTTATTTTAATGATACGGCTCAGAAATTTGGGAATTTCATCCATCACAGGTTGCAGACTTTTTATACAATAATTTCTTAAAGCAAATTCTTTTTCCTGATAGCAATACACCGGACTTAGTGTCTAGGGTTGAACTTGGGTGTTCATCTTTCAAAACTAGACAGTATATATAATTGTAAAACATTGGACACGGTCATTATACCAAAAGGAACATGGAACATTATGCCGCAGATACCGTTATCAATATACTTTAGCAGAAGTTGGTAGACAATCAAGATGTAGGTTGTATAAATAACTTCTTATTTGATTTTAAAGAAAGATGTATATCGATAGATCAACAAACATGGTTTGAGTTAATATGTCAATTTCACAAACGCAATGTATATCAATCTGTAAAGAAATAATGTTGTGAAGAATATTTGTGTGAGTGTAATTTCATATAGAATAGCCCTTACTTAATTTAGGTGTCCAAATCCCAGATTAATGATAGAGGAAGGTAGAAAACTTCATATTGCTAAATATCAATGATTTTGTCCTCTATGCATTCTTCAATGTATTGAAACCGAGGCTGCCCATAGTTAAAATTGGTATTCAGCAACCCATCCTTGTCGTAAGAGGCGACTAACGGGATCGGGTGGTCAGGGTCGCTGACTTGGTTGACACATGTCATCGTATCCCAGTTGCGTAGATCGATGCTCATGCTGTTGATCACTGGATTGTCTGTGCCAGACTCGACTATTTACAGACCACCGCCATATAGCTGGAATATTGCTGAGTGCGACGTTGAACACCAAATGAACCAACCAACTAGGAGTTCTAGTTCGAGCTTATTCATACCAAGAGGATTCGTACCGGCACATGCTAGCACAATAGGGTGTTCTTCAACGTCGTTCATACTTCGTTTGTCATCGTATCCCAGTTGCGTAGATCGATGCTCATGCTGTTGATCACTGGGTTTTCTAGTCCAGACCGCCGTCTAATAGTAGGAATATTGCTGAGTGCGGCGTTAAAGTAAACTCCCTCACTCAGACATATTTCGTTCGATGCAAGTGTTTGCGCAGGTAGAGATCTTCACGGGTTTAGGACTCCTAGAACTACTGGACTGTGGTTGAAAGTACGTGCATCAACCTCCATGTCAAAAACACAGAGGTAAGGTGAAGTGAAATTGGGTTTTACGTCGTGCTTGAGAATATTTCGCTCATATGACGACGTGCATGCGTGTGTATGTGTATGTGCGGCTGCTTGTACTAGCCCAGACTTATGCTGGTTTTATAGTGCTAGCCCACTGAGGGACCAACAAGTACCATATTTTAAAGTTTTTTTTTAAAGTATGACGTGGCCGGGGATCGAACCCGCGACCTTCCGATCTCCGGGCGGACGCTCTAACCACTACACCACGGAGGCGGTCTCAAAAACACAGAACCTCAACAGTCAGTAACAAGTTTATTAAAATTTTACAAGCGTTAAGTCTATGAGACAGGGATATACAGAGTTACGATTTGACTTCAACGTATTGTTTTGCAATGATGGGGATCTGTTACTGAACTTAAAGGACACAATGTCACACATCTTTTACCATATTTTGGCCTATATCATATATATTGGGGCATATGCACTCACTTTAGCTTCCTTTTGGCGCAGTAAAAGACTTATTATCCCTTACGACTTGCCTAAAATCGATAATTGAAACTTCGAGGCGAACAGCTTCAATACAGAAAGCACTTGCCATATATGGAATGTAGACAATTGCTCCATGCATCGAAAGTTGTCGCACGCGGTATTATCGGCGTTTGCAAAAGTGGTTTCAGTGACAGATTTTGCGTAGGATATTCGAAAAGAGCGGGACGTTGGTCTATGGGGTTCGCATGAAATTATGTTCGACAGGTAGAGGGCGCAAGAGTCGATTTAATGCAACGTTGCATTAATTCATTCGAATTTTTAAATTTAAAATTGTAATCTAAATATGTAATTCTGTTTTGAATACATTATATGGTCGCTTCCCTCTGAGGACGGATAGTTAGTCTTGTTGAGAGAAAAACATTGTTCATTTTTAGAGAGGTGTTGTGATATCATGCTTAAACCCTGTGTACTATGTAACTGTCTATGCAAAGTGCACAAATCAGATTGCATGTTTTATCGCCATTACAGCGAAACCAAATTTTGCAACTGTCGATGTTTTATTCAAACCAGACCTAATGGTTGCGCTCAGTGAATGATATTTATCATGTTAGAATGGACATATAATACTCAAGTTAATCGACGATGTAAAATGTAAAGGGGTAGTATTGGTCTCGAGAAAGCGCTACACGTTCAGAAATGTGCCTCGAAACCAAATACGATGCATAAGAGCGTTGTCAGGGTCGTTAATGACGCTGCCTTGACCACCAGGGGACATGCATCTGAAAAAGAAATTTTCGGTTCGTTTGATACAAGACATAGTACATTTCTGAATAAATATTCACAAATCCTATTGTGTGTTTATCCACTAAACATCAATAGGAGCTTGTCTTCAGCAACCCGTGCTTGTCGTAAGAGGCGACTAACGGGATCGGGTGGTCAGGCTCGCTGACTTGGTTGACACATGTCATCGAATGCTAATTGTGTAGATGGATGCCCATGATGTTGATCACTGGATTATCTGGTCCATACTTGATTATTTATAGACCGCAGCCATATAGCTGGAATATTGCGGCGTTAATTTAAACAAACAAACGATAATGCGTACGAAATCAACTGTAGACAGGCATGCTGCACACACATTCGTGACCAATTCGTGTTATTCCGGGACAAGCCGAAAAGCGGCTCGTGCCCCTCTGGAAGGATTTCATATTGGCGTATGAACATCAGAACTACTTTAAACAGGAACGATAACTCTATTCTTGTTTGATTCCAATGGTACATAATATCACCGTAGTAATCATACATTGTATTGGTGTTTATGTTTTTAAAGAATTAAACCTCTTTGATACAACAAAAAGAAGGAGAAAAACATATTTGTTACAGGCTTATTCTGACGTAATTATTACCAGATGTTCACTTTATATTTCCAATTATATTTCAAAATAGGGTTTGATAAGCACAAATGGGATTTGTTTGATTAAATATGTAAATAAAATTTTTAAAAGCTACATTAAATCCCAAAGCAGAAACTCAAAAAGGACTTAAAATATTTCTCAAACTGAACATTGGTGTAACCTTGCTGTCATACCCCAAGTGGAATTTTAAATGAAATCGCTGAAAAATATATGAATGATAAAAAAGTCAGACTAAAATATTCCCAGAGATGTGACATATATGCCCAATGTTAAAGATTAAAGTTGATTAGTTACATGCAGATATATGTCTCATATTATTGTTTTGAAACTCGGAGCGATTTAAGAATACATTTCCTAAACTTGTTTGAAGCGCACGCACAATCTTCACAGCAAGCCCGCAAGATCGTTAGAAATACCCTCAGTTGGACCCATGAGAAACGTCATGTCAACAAACGCACGTGCGTGTATTTGAATCTCTCAGGTCAATAGCATGATTCTTATCAAAAGCTTCATAATAGGCATCAAAATCCTGTTAGCTAAGTTCTTTGTACTTTCAATATGACGATATATATTTTTCATGATTATTTTAGACAATGACACAATGCCATAAACGATTTAAGTACTCAGGATTATTTTTACCAAAGGACCGCAGTCATTTACGTGCGTTCTGATTGGTTTGTCGTATTTTCGCACATAACAAGCATCGAAAGGGGGACGAGTCTTCTTGGAGGTAACGGAAAGAGGCGAGTGGACGTGGTGACGAATGACTGAACAGTAGACATTAAGCAGTAACGGTTGTCTGTAACAACACCACTCCTGGCACTGATTGTGCAGGTGTTGTGAATATTGTGAGTGAGGTTCAAGTTTTACACCGTATTTAGCAATCTTCCAGCAATATCACGGCAGGGGAGGGACACCAGAAATGGGCTTAACACATTGTGTCCATGTGGGGAATCGAACCCGGGTCTTCGGCGTGACGAGCCAACGCTTTAACCACTAGGCTACCCCACCGCCCCTCACGGCAGGGGAGGGACACCAGAAATGGGCTTCACATATTGTACCCATGTGGTGGGGAATGTTTTGAACACATCACAGGAACGCATGACAGTTGAGTACTTGTTGACTGTTGATGAACGTTTTGTTCAAATGCTTAAACTCGACTTCATCAAACCGAACTATACTTAATTCAATTTACGCACTTACGGTGCGTCTGATTTTCAGTTGGGGAGGTGAGGTAGTCTGGCGGTTAAAGCGTTTGTTCGTCACGATGAACCCGGGTACGATTCCTCACATCGGTACAATGTGTGAAGCCCATTTCGTGATATTGCTGGAATATTGCTAAAAGCAGCGAAGTAATTCTCACTCAATCAGTTACAGTCAAGACGATGTTTGTGACAGAACACCTGCACACGATTCCACACATTGTACATACACGCAACTATTACACGTGGCTGGTGAAATAGGGTTTTATTAGTTATTATTATCTTTCCTTCATTGTGCAGACAAGAAATGGTTCTTGGCCAGATAGACAGAGGAGATTTTTCAAAGTCTAGGGTTTTCAGTTTTGTCAAAACATTTAATTGTAGTAATTTAATCTAAACAACATCTGCATCATCTTTTTAATGGATGATTCTGTGAATGCAAAGCTGTGCATAGGTTCAGCCAAACAAGAACCCTCCCGTTCGATCTAAAACACAAAATTAGTTTCAACAATCTAAGACCTGAGACTCGTTCTAAATGTGTATAAACTGTAAACCTGATGAAGTGAATTAGTGAGTTACTGCTGGATCTAACATCGCAGCCAGCAATTGTGAAATAATGTGACCGAGGTTTCTAAATAAATAAGTCTGGAGCAATCACACCAGTAATCCACATGACGGGAATGTCCACATCACGCAGCGTGACAACCTTTTGTACCTGCCTCGTTTGAGAAACACAGTTTAATGGAGACCAATCCAAGCAAGCAATCAACCATTAATCTTTAATTTTACGAGTCCAATTTAGAAAATTTATTCTTCAAATTACGGCTTTAGGTTACATTTCCTTATAATGTGTTTCATTTTGTTAATTTATACACAATAGTTTTAAAGGTGGCTTTTTGCCTTCTTACTTTGATATGAGAGATATTTTCAATTTAGTCTTCAATGATGTTGGGAAATGTACGAAAAAGGTACCGCCAAGAGAATATCCTATACTTTATAGTAAATTCCCAAGTGCTCTTACCGGTAGAGACACGTGAAGATCCGGGTTAGAATTGGTCTCCAGCAACCCATGCTTGTTGTGAAAGGCGACAAACGGGATCGGGTGGTCAGGCTCGCTAATACCTATCCTAACTGCGTAGGCTGATGCTCAAGATGTTGATCACTGGATCTTCTGGTCCAGACTCGATTATATACAGACCGCCGCCATACAGCTGGAATATTGCTGAGTGCGGCGTTAAACAAACAAACAAACTTACCGGTAGATGGCGCCAATTTGTTGACAGTATCAATCAGAGCTTGGGTAGTCTTCCCGAGAAACTGAAACATCTTGGGGGTGAATTGGCTGAGAGTGTCGCAGGAGTTATGGTAACAATTCTTCATATACCCTCGGAAGTTAGCTGAATATGAAACGTCAGTGCAAAAGAATATCCAGAATTGACTTGACTCAGATTTTAACACAGTTGGAAAAATCATATGAATGGATCACTAAAAGTCAGTGACGGCAACAGGTGTTTGCGAAAAGATGACCACGTCTTTGGCGACCTAAAGCACCATGGGCGGCTGGCGGGGGTGGCGTTGTGGTTAAAGTATACGCTCGTCTCGCCGAAGACTTAGGTTTGATAACCCACAAGAGTAAAATGTGTAAAGCCAATTCCTGGTGTTGCCGTCGTGATATTATTAGAATATTGCTAAAAGCGTCGTAAAACTAAACTCACCCTGCAGAATCAAACTGCATTGACGTCAATGCACCGTAGTTAATGTACAAAAGGTCATTCCAGTTTTGCACATTCGTTGCCCACTAGTACGGAGAAAGGCAATTTCAATATCAGTTGTTTCAGGCATGTGGAAGCTAAGCGACGTTGAAGTAGTCAGCATTACACCAAATATCAACCCATTCTTTAAGTTTGAGTGAGTGAGTATGTTTGCGTCACTGTTAGCTATATTCCAGAAATATCACGGTGGGGGAAACAAGAAATGGGCCTCACACATTGTACCCATGCGTGAAATCCAACCCGGGTCTTCGGCATGACGAACAGACGCTTTAATCATTAGGCTACCTCACCACCCCTTTAATTTTGAAACTCAATTATTTCACAAACTCTCTTTTCCGATAATTACTCGTTAATTTAGAAGCTGTACCTGTGTCAGTCAAGAAGATTGCCCTCATGCCATTTTTCCAGAAAGAGTAATGGTCACTCCTTATGAGGTCATTGAATATCAGGAACTGCTGCTGTGTCAGTGTCTTGTCGGTCAGAACGCTGATGTTGATCTTCTCAAGCTCGAACTCATTTTTACCCAAGGCGGCGTAGGATGTGACGAAGGCGTCAAGGACGTCGGAGTCGTAGGGACGCCCAATTGCGGCGAGGAAGTCTCCTCTTTTGCCATCAGAGTTAACGCTGTTGTTAACTCCCGGGGCAAACTGGAGAGAGATGCATGTTAATATACTTTGTATGTGGCTAACTGTATTTTATCTCTCTATTTCTCTACACCTATTCATGTAGCCCTGAGTGCCAGCTTGGCTGCTAACAGGCGTTCTGTTTTACCCTCGATCACTGGATGTCAATCTCAACGGCACATTGCATTATCAATCTCAACTCCCTGAGGATCATACAACTCTTGCAGCCACTAGGCGCACCAAGTTAATGTGGCTTTCCCATCCTTACGAGGTACCCATTCACAGCTGGGTGGACTGGGACACATAGTCACAGTCCTTTGTCCAAGTTCACTGCACGTTGCTGTACCCACAATTAGGTGTTTGTACGTATTCATGTGGCCACCATGTGGTCATATACCAACTGATCGTGGGTTCTTTTAAGTGCACAGGGTTGTGTACTGTACACAAGGGTTAGTGACAACACTGAAAGAGTCTGCACCCAAAGTTGACTCCAAGGTTTTACACCCGGTCACAGGTGTGCTCGATCCCGACACCTCAACCTCGCTGGATCACTAGCAAGGCGCCTTAGACAGCTCGCCCACCACGCCCAACTAACCATCTAACGACTAACTTCGACACCGCACCTTGGGTGCTTATAGTGAAGAAACTGTTTTCACTGATGTCATAAAGTTTCAAAGGAAACTGAACCATGAACAAAAATTGAACATCCAGCTGGGTAATTTCCAGAAAGGCCAGGCATAGTAAAAACTTCATCGTATTTAGATCGTTTCACTGATTATATTTATCTCAGGCCGACCCGTTTGGTCGACTTTTGTTGCCTGCATATATGTAATTCCGTGAGTTATTATTCCAGGACGTGATTTCTGTATAACGGTATGCATGTCAAAAACACGTCGGTGATCAGAGGTGCTGATGGTTCTTTAGGTTAGAATCGTTCAAGTATTAAAATACTACCTTCTCCAGTCCCGCTGGGAGTTCTTGGGTATCTGTTTTTTCCTGTATATTTGCAATGGTGTCCATGACGATAAACCCCTTGAGAACAGGAACTGTGGCCCAGAAGGATGGTATCCAGTCACTGACAAACTTCCTGCTTCCACAACTAAGGTATGTGCACGCTTCTTCTGTAAGGTCTTTAAAGAAAATATCAGAACAGAAGCTTTGGGTTTGCTTAAAATGTATGTTAAGGTGGGACTGAATATGTGCTGTTTTCTTCAAACATGCAACATTTGGATTCAATATGGCTTTATCGTTAAACATATTTCAGCATTCGTGACCAACTCGTGTTATTCCGGGTCAAGCCGAATAGCGACTCTGCCTCTTGGAAAGGATATAACGATATATAATTTTCATGATATTTTAATAATCACATAATGACATAAAACGAGTTTAGTACTGGGGATAATTATTATCCAAGCGCCGAAATCATTAAGGGTGTTCTGATTGGTTTGTCGTATTTTCGCGCATAACAAACATCGAGAGGGTTCTTTGAAGTTACAGAAACGGTCGAGTAGTGACGAATGTACATATCAGTCACAGAAGTAAAAGTTTAACACTGATTCTGTGTGTTGTTTGCCTTGTCACAATAACCTATGCTTTAGAGAAAGATTGAAATATACCGTTGAAGCTTTCCAGATAAGTTTAATGAATCGAAAAGTAGTTTTCATTCAGACATTCATTCATCGCTCTACCTACTTTTCCATTCTTCAAAGTCAAAGGCGACAAAGATCACAGTGAAGTCTCGCCTGGACTTGGCCATATGTTTGGCAGTTTGGAGCATAGCCACCACCGCAGCACCATTGTCGTCGACACCTGCATGGGGTGAATCACTGAGCAAAGTAACGTCCACGTGGCCAAGAGCCATGGGTCATGTAATGTAATAATATTTCCTTTCAAAAGTTTAGACTCACTAGTGTACATACAGCCACTTACTTCAGGCAACTGTTCTAAACTAAATTTTGCAAAATATTCCATACTGTTTAAAGGTACTGTTTACACATGAACTTATGTATTGTAAAACAAATTCGTAACGTTGAAAAGATTATTGTCATGAGTTCAAGAAATGATTGAAGTCGGTGAAAAATTCTTAACAAAACTTTACACTACGACGCAGCTGTTTACATGCACGATATTTGCACATACATCTGATGCATGATCCTCGTGCAATTCTTCTGCATAAGGTTTGCAGTTGGTTCCCCCAAGTTAGTGGAGAAATCAGTCTTCGATGTAACCAAATATATATACATAACATATAGTGAGTGTTTTATGTGAGTCTAAACTTTTGAAAGGAAGTATATTGTCATCATATTTCTATAGATCTAGCGGTAACTTGTTTGAATGTTGTTTAACGCCGCACTCAGCAATGTTCAAGCTATGTGGCGGTAGTCTGAAAATAATCGAGTCTGGCCCAGACCAGTGGTCTAGGCAGTTGGGATACGGTGACATGTGTCGGCCAAGTCAACGAGCCTGACCATCCGATCCAGTTAGATGCCTTTTACGGCAAGCATGGGTTACTGAATATCAATGCTAACCGGGATTTTCATGTAATGGCTAAAGCATTAATTAGAGCTATCAAAACGTTGATTGAAGACATTACACAGTTCCTATTGGACGTATCATGAAATTATGTATTCAATAGGAAAATCGATCCAAAATTGAAAAGATAATGTGAAGGAAAGAGACAAAAAAGGACATGCTTATGACTAATCACGCTTTATAAAAGCAAAATATATTTTGTTTGCTGTTTTTACACATAAGTGCTAAAGATGTAACCAACATGCAGGGTTATAGTGCTAACAAATATAGAAACATGTAATTCTGGACTCGAACACACGATCATGCGATACTGAAAGGACACGTTCTTGTGACAAAGGAATGGTACTGATGACTCTGGTGATGCATCGCAAAGGTTATGGAAGTGGTTGTGGCATATATTTTTAATAGGGAACGGAAACGGTACATTACAGTTTTTTGGCTGTAAAAACTGCCATAACAATGCTTACCTGGTGTGTTATTCATGGTGTCGTAATGCGCTGCGACTCCAACAATCTGATCTTTACTTGTATTGAAATCTTTTCCCTTCGAAATACCGATGAGATTTACACCTTTCACCTGAAAAATATCCAAATATGAACACCCATACCATGTAATTGTTTGACTGGTTGGTTGTAGTAGTAGTAGTACAGTGGGGGTTCTGCATCAGATGCAGCTTAGAGGCTTATTTGTATGAATGAAAATAGTGAGGGTGTAGCGCGAACCATCCTTTGATGTGCCGCCAGCGTAGACCCAAAGTTCCGAGCATTAAAGTATCAGCTGGCTCGCCATTGTGATGGTTAGAGCTTTGGACTAGTAACCCAGCGTTTGCAGTTCGAGTCGGGGTAGCGACAGAACTTTCTGCGAGTGAGTGGAGGTGTAAAGGTTATGCCAGAGTTCCTACATGAGCGTTCTACTGACATAGTTAGTCCCTATGTATGTATGTCACGCCAGCGTTCCTACATGAGCCCTGGCCTGACATGGTTAGCCCCTCTCCATGTATTATGTATGTCACACCAGCGCTCATACATGAGCGCTGACTGAATGTGGTTTCTTGAACAGTTTGTGTTGCAAGGTTTATTGGAGGGGTGAATTCTCGATTTGTTTTTAAAACGTAGCCATAATATTCAGCGCCGACTTTATGGGGTGGGTCTGCCATGAATCTTTAATAAGAAGGGGGGTAATACCGTGTGAAACTCCAAATCCACTTCGAGGATGTAGCCTTTGTTCGAATCCGGCATGATGCTCTTGATATCGATCTCATCATCCAACCACTCGAACCCGCCCGTAGGTAGAGACTGGCTCATGCCCCAACCGTACAGGTTGTTGGTGTCGCGATAGAGGAGGTGATTGGTGGGCTTGCTCGAGTCGTAGCCTTCCACTTATTTGTTGTTGGCGCATGACTTTCTCGATGAACAGGTGCATGTCGTGCACATCCCACGAGACCGGGGCTGGTGTAGTACCAGGAAGGGTCGAGTTGATACTGTTTCAAACCAGGGAGACTATACTTGGCACATAAGAAACTGTGCATATAAAAATTTAAAATCTAAATTTATCGAACCTGTGTAGACACATAAGGATTTAAACTCAGAGATTAGTGACATGTATCCAACATGCATGCACGTGCCACGTTCCGTGACGTCAGTGGGTTCGTCCTTGAGACGTGCAATACGTTGTTGCACGTGCATTCTGGGAAAGAAAAACAGAGCAAATGAATGCTACACAATACTGTCACTTTGGAAAGCTCAACCCCTGCCCTTGCGATCGTTCAAAAAATTAAACGGCAATTGAAACGCATAGCATGCCAAGGCTCACGTCTGCACAACGTCATGAGGCCATTGGATGGTCCGTGGGGGAATGTCTCAACGACAAGTGGCTGCACGTTTCCACTGCCACCGGAACACCATTTCTGCACTGGTGAGACGCTACCAGAACACAAATGACGTTCTGGACGTCCACGTGTAACAGCGCCAAGACAGGACAGATGGATAAGGGTGACCCATCTTCGCCACAGGTTTCAGACTGCAGTGATGACTGCCCAAACCATCCAGGACTTCGCCGTATCCACCCCAACACAGTTCGACAACGTTTACGTCATCACGGGATCAGACCACGATGTCCCGCCATACGGCCTATCCTGACACGTCATCGACCAGCTCGCCGAATGTGGTGCAGAAATCTTGTCCCCAGACCCTTGTTTTGGTGGAGAAATGTTGTTTTTACAGATGAGTCCAGGTTTAACATTTCCCATAGTGATGGACGTCAACATGCCTATAAACGCGTGGGAGAACGTTATGCACAGGCCTGTGTCTTGGAGAGGAATCGCTTTGGTGGTGGTTCCGTGATGATTTGGGGTGGAATGACAGCACGTCAAAGAACTCCTTTGGTGATTGTTCAGGGCAACTTAACGTGTTTGGGCTACAGGGATCAGATTCTTCGACCTGTGGCAATTCCTTTACTGCAACGTCATGGCCCCGGGTTAACATTCCAACAGGACAATGCCCGCCCTCATACGGCAAGGGTTGCTATGGATTTCTTGCAACACCACAACGTTGACTTGCTGCCTTGGCCTGCAAATTCACCAGATCTCTCCCCAATAGATCATGTTTGGGACGAGATGGATCGACGTCTACACCGTCTTCCTCATCCGCCAGATAACGTCCTTGACCTTGCAGCAGACCTCGAGAGAATCTGGCGTGACATCCCAGAAGCCTTCCTTGCACGTTTGATAGGCTCTATGATCCCTCCAATAAAGTTTATATGTACCTTTGACATTGTTATCGTACTTATCAACTGGGATAATATTTTGACAATGCACAGTTTGTTTATGTGGCTAGTATATATAACAGGGAATGGTCACTCCCCGGAGAGCCCCTTAGCGTATGCCTCGGCTCGTCACGTTACCAGTGTAGCCAATATGGCGGAAGCGTAGTTTTTAAGATTGAGCCCGGTTTATTTCAAACAGCTGATTACATACGCTGAGCGTTGTGACAACTTAAAACCTACATGAAGAAGATAAGTTACCTATTCTGTCACTTCATTTTAAGTCAAATTATTGTTATTAGTATCAGTATTTGTACAGTAGATTTGTAGTAAAGTTTCAAGTCGGCATGTTGTAGCTCACTGGCTTCAATTCTCGGTACACAGCGAAGAAAGACTAAATTCCATCGCTAAAAACTTCTTTCACATATTCGTTTAATTTTTAGAAGGGAAATATACCTTTAGTTGAAAGGTGTTTGCAAGTAATAGTGATAGTTTTATAACTAAACATTTTTTGTTAGGGTGTATTTGAGATGTGTGAAAATTATGAAATGTTGCCGATCTGCCATTGAAATACTACAGGGTGTTTCTAGTTATTGTTCTAAAACATCTTTCACATTCACCTTTTAACTTTTATGAGGGGAATATACCATCAGGTGAAAGGTATTTGCAAGTAATAGTGATAGTTTTATAATTTATTTATTTTTGTTAGGGTGTATTTGAGGTGTGTGAAAAATATGACATATCGCCGATCTGTTCTGATACGCCATTGATGCTTGTGATGCTTGAGTTTTATAGCCCATGCCATTCCACACATGCAATAAGATATCTGAATTAGTTACTAATGTAAAAAAAAGTGTCTCAAAGTAGATTTTTAAAAAAAAGGACAGCTGATGTTAACACATGTGTTCTACCGATAGTTTTGCGTTCTTTAACATGTTTGGGGAGGGATGGCCGTGGTGTATCATTTATTCTTTCATTCATTCACATATGTATTTCTTTCTTTTATTCTTGTTCTTTATTTCTTTCATTCATTCACATATAATTCTAGCTCTTAATTCATTCATTCTTTCATTCATTCATTCTTTGTAAAATTCCGACTGATACTATACACTGGCTGAAGTACTGTTAAACGCAGCCGAAGTTGCGCTGGGAACGAACCAAGTCACTATGTGCGTTGGAGCATGACGAGGCACACGCTAATTAGTACAAATGGTAAAGAAAGCAAGCGAGTGACCTATCCCTGTTGTAGAGTATCCCTGTTCAAACACGTCATTCTGAACGTCTCGAACATGTCGGCCAGCAGCAGGACGTCCGTTTTCAAGTACAGGTCGTGGTAGTTGCCCAGATTCTCGCAACCCAGTTTGTTCCACACGCTCTGAGCGTGGTCGTAAACGTCCTGGGAGATTTCGGATTCTGTCAAGTTGCTGTAAAATCGGTCGATGGGAGGTAGTTGAGCCTCGTCGAACTTGGGCCAATCATCCATGTACTCATACGGGTACACGCCCTTTTTGAACAGCAGAGGTCGAGTTGCCTCATCGGTGTATCGATGGGGGATGGTGAAGGTATCGTTGTCCTTAACCAAACTGTCGAGCGATGACAGGAGGAACTGAGCGCTGTCGATAAATCTCAGACCGTTGAGCAAGAACGAGATTTATTTCTCCATGTTGTTGGGGATGCACTTGATATTGCCATAGATGTTCGAGATGGCCTGCATGATCAAGTGAGAATCTTACCCTCTCAAATTGTGGAAGACCACTGGGATGTTGATTTTAGTGGGATCGATTCTAAGTTACACGTGTTGTGAGCTGCACCTCGGTACCGGCCAGTGATGTGACAATGATCTCTCATGACATCCCCGTTCAGGGGTTGGTCGCACACGTGGCAACGCTGAGCCTTTTCATGAGCGAGTTTATCCTCCAGCGTCATATCCATGGGGGCAGGGTCTGACAAAGCTTCCCTGATGTTTTTGTCTTCGCGTTGTAAGAACGTGAGAAACGTTTCGGCTGCGTCGGGACCTCGGTAGATTACAGAATCTCCGTTTCACCGACCACGTACCCAAACCCGCAGACTTGTTGTTCTTGCGTTTTGTAAGTAAAACTTTTTTCCGGGGATGGTGCGATGTGGTCGACCTGTTTGCTGAGTGCTTCGAAGTCAGCGTAAATGATGTAAGGCACGGGCATTTGATGTTTGTGGTTGATGAATTTTAAGATGTTTTCATGTTCTCGAGGAATGTCGATTCAGATCGCCGTCTCTCCCACGCCTTGGCAATCCTCACGGTGCGCTTCCAGCAGGTTGGCTCGCGTCAAGCCGTGCAGACATCGTTTGTTTATGCGTTGATTGATCGTACAACAGTCTGCTCAGATTTTCAACATGTGTGTAGTGATACTTACCATCTTTTTCGGTCATAAATAAATTGATTCTGCTCTTATCATTGGGCATGGAGCTGATTCGGTGTACGATGGTGTTATTGCCTTCGTGTCCGAAGACGATTGCTAAATGGTTCAGTTTTTCAAATCCGGTCCAGTAGGAAATGGGTGTGGGTTTAACTAAGCCATCCCAGTCGTCTTCGGGGTAGCTTGAAGGTCTATTCTTATTAATAGCTACTGGAAATAAGCCAGCTCTCACCGAATATACTGCACAAGCATCGTCCTGTTTTTAATGTTATTAATGGCTTTTTTATTACTGTAGTAAGGTGGCAAGTCTAGGTACGATCCGCCTTTGAATGGTACGTAGTTCGCTATATCCAAATAGATCGTGTTGATACTTCCCGCCACCCACCCGTAGCCCCTGTGCGTCCATCGTTCCAACGATCATTGTATTTTTTGTAGCAGGGTATCGAGGGTCGAAGGGATCGAGTCGGATTGAAGTACGACTTCCTGCTTGCCTCTGAAATAAGGCTCGATGGATCGGTACTGCCATCCGTCTGCTGTTTGTTAAGTGACATGTGGATGGTGGATGGCATTTGATACGTTTTAAATCATCCAACTCTTCTTTGACTTTGTCGGCTATCAGGGATTTGACGCTGTTGACGTCGATGTTAGACTCGACGATCATTTTCCAGCTTCTCAGATACTTATCCATGGCATGGTCTGTCGGCACGAATCTTAACTCGACCGCCTCGGTGTCTTCCAACAAGGTGAGCAGTTGGGCTTTCCTCATGTGAGAATAACCCTTCAAGCCCACGTTCTTTAGCTCGGAGTTTGAGGTCTCGCACGGTAGGGGGTTTGACATATTTCAGTTGAGCAGTTGGAGAGCAGAGTGGTGTATGACTCCGACGATATGTGAATCATGCGTTTTTTAAACACTCTGTTAACAATTGTGACACCGAACATTCACTATAAGGTAATTGTATACTGCTCCTGTGAAAATGGTATCATGCAAACCTTATATCAATTACATGGAAGCAAATTATCTACTAAAAGCAGAGTGTTGTACAACTCAAACGTGTTTTTGAATCGTGCACATGTGTTTTTTGAAACACTCCCAAAATAGTGACACCAGGTGTTTGGGATAAGGCGATATATGCTGCTCCAGTGATTTTTTCACCTTGACAGAAAAAGGGAAAGAGTTGCACGAAAAGCGAAATTACCGTCACAAGATTTGTGTTGAAAGTCTGATTGTACACATCCAATCCGTAACTTCTGAACTCGTTCATGATGAAGTCTCTGGCAGCAGCTTTGTATGTCGGGTTGGTGACATGGTGCCGGGGCTTAGAGAAGTGGTTTTGAAGGGTAGAATTCATCCAGGCCGTATCTACATCGGCATTCGAGGTCACCAGCCCTGTTGTATAACGAACATGAGTGAGTGAGTGCTGCTATTTACCTATCTATTTTATACAATAAAGGAAGGTCAAGGCAGGTTTATTACTGTAATGTAAATATTTATATTACTCTGATGTGGGCACTGTTGGCGTTTAAATCGGATGCTATAATGTCCATAATTATGTAATTATGTAATATTAACCAATGTCACGATCATGAAAATTCTTTTGAAATCAACATTCAGTTTTCATTTGTTTTGTGTTATTAAACGCCGACTCTGCATTCTTCTAGCTGTATTACAGCGCCCTGTAGATCGAGTCTGGACCAGCCAATCCAGTGATCAACAGAATGAGCATCGATCAACGCAAGTGCCGAGGACCAATTCTAACCCAGATCTTCACGGGTCAGCTGGTTCGAGATATGGATCTGTATGATCCTGGCGAGGGATATTGAGACCAAGAGTGAGTGAGTGAAGTTACGCCACACTCAGCTATATTTCAGCTATATGGGGGAGTAGTATATACAATAGGGGTACGAGATCAAGTACAACAAAAGCCTCTGTAAAGCTTCATTTATGAAATAAAGCTTTTGTCAGGCCCTTATCTCTCTCCGCTATTGTATATACCACTGTTTGAACCCCCAGTTAACTGCAACACTTTCCTGATCACGTGATGCTATTGTCGCCCTATGTTGTGTTGACCTCAAGGAAACAGTTTAATGTGAATCGCCTATGAATTACAGGATACTATTGGGATTACTCGACAAGATAAGTGTTAAATATTTTGCTTGGGGGGCTACGCTTTGGCCTCGTTCAGGGGGTACTCTCACCATTTTGGCAAGCTTATGTATGGCGCTCACTCCTTTCCAGTACCCACGCGGGCTATAGTAAATAGCCTCCAACTTTCTCTCTTTTCGTGACATCGTTTACATATGGCTATGTCTTTGGTTTAATTTTCTCATGCCCGTACGCGCTGTGTTGATTCCATCAGCGGCTATCCAACGCTTCGTGTCCATCGGCGACACGGATGTCTTTTTTATCGTCAGTCCGTATATCCTGTGTCCTTCGCTTCTCAGCGTGTTCATCTGATGCTTGAAGGTGTGGGCCCTGAACAGGGCCTCCTTGAACCTGGCGTGTTTGATGTGTTGTTTCACCACGTACTTCTTGACACCCTTCGTCTTCCGGATCTCGCTATTGTCGGCTTTCAGGATGGAGTACATCTTGGGCCTCAAGCCTATGTACTCCGCTATGGGCATGCCAGCACACTCGTCCTTCATCTTACTGAGGACCTTTTGGTTAACCGTGCTGTGTATGGCATGGTCCTTGGGGTAGTCACTTGTGTCGTATAAATGGATGTGTTTTGCCATGTCCTTGTACACGTCTTCGGTTCGAATCTCAATCAGCAGGGAGTCCGTGTCCGTGTACAGTGTACAGCACCTGTCGGCATACTGATGCTCATCCCAACGTAGACGGGCCTGTTGAACTTGATGTGGCTCTTCCTCATATGTAGGGCCACCTGTTCGTCGGTGAATATCTTGCTTTGGTTGAATACCGGGCTAGCTATCAGTCTCCTGAGCTTGTCTTCCTCTTTCGCCCGGACCAGCTTCACGGTCACGCGTTTTTGCAAATTCTCCATTGTCTTACTGAACACCGAGTTGTTCATGAGCTTGTAGAGGTTCTTCTCAAGTCACTGGTGGCCAGCTTTCGCAGGTCCGTGTTCATTCTGATGTAGGGCTCCATCCAGGGGCTTTGGTTGAACTCAAGCACCCTATGTGTTTTAGTCAGCCTCATAGCCAGCGACAGGTACAGCTGCAGGTTGCGATAGTGAACGATGTACTTTGTCTTTTTCATCAAGTTGGGTACGAGTTTTTTCACGTTGGCTAGCTTATTACCCCCCACCCTCTGTTGGTAGTCGGACATCTTCTCCGGGTTCACCATCAAACGTTCTGGGCCCAGGGGGTAGCCGTTGTGTGACTTGTGTAATGCTGCTGGCTACTCCAAGTCAACTTTGGGGATGTAACCTACCCCCGAACCCGGCGGTATGCTCATGACGCTATCTCAGGCACCCACTCGAACCCCCATGTGGGTAGATACTGGCTCATAGCCCAACTGTACAGGTTGTTGGCGTCGAGATAGTGGAGATGATTAATGGGTTTGCTAGCATCATAGCCCTTCACATACTTATTGTTGGCTCTTGCGTACCGTTTGGCAGCAATGGAGATCCCACCTCGCAATCCTTTCTCGATGAACAGGTGCATGTTGTAATCGGTGAGGAGTTCCAGCTTAACTCCAGTTTTCTTCAGCAAGGCATCCCAAGAGAGACCGGGACTGGTGTAGTACCACGCATGGTCGAGTTGATACTGCTTGGAACACGTCTTTCTGAACGTCTCGAACACGTCAGCCAGCAGGAGTACGTCCGTTCTCAAGTACAGGTCGTGGTAATAACCCAGGGACTTGCAGCCCAGTTTCTCCCACACATTCTGGGCGTGGCTGTAATCTCCCTCCGTGATGGCGGAGTCGGTCAAGTTGCTGTAAAATTCACTCATGGCTGGTAGTCGGGTCTCGGCGAACCTGGCCCAGCTGTCCATGTACTGGTAGGGGTAAACACCCTTCCTCATCAGCAGGGGCCCGAGTCTCGGCGTCGGTGTATCGATCAGTGATGGGGAAGGTATCGCTGGCCTTGACCAAACTGTCGTGAGACGACAGCAGGAACTGAAGTGAGTCTATAAACCTCAGGCCGTTCAGGGAGAAGGAGATGTATCTCTCCATGTTTTTGGGGATGCACGTCGACCTTCGCGATGGCCTGCATGATCAAGTGAGAGTCGTACCCTCTCCAGTTGTGGAAGACCACGGGGATGTTGATTGTCTTGGGGTTGATTTTGAGTTTGACATGACAGTGATCTCTCACCGAATGGCCATTCAGCGGGCCGTCGCACACGTGGCAATGAGTGCTGCGGCCGTGAGCTCGCCGGTCGGCTTGGGTCATACGCATGGGAACGACATTGTACAATTTCTTCCTGTTGGTTTTTTTCCTTCCATTGCAAGCACTTTAGACACTTTTCAGCCGCGTCGGGACCCCTGTACACTACGGGAGCTTTCGTTTCCCCATTACATTGGACGACCACGTATACAAACCCACAGGCCTCATGCTCCTGCGTTTTGTGCGTTTTGGGAGTCGGCCTGGTGTCAACGCTTTTGATCAAGGCTTCGAAGTCGGCGTAGATGACATAAGTCACTGGCATCTGGTTCTTATGGTTGGTGAATTTTAAGATATTGTCGCCTTCATTGGGCATGTCGATTCGTATGGCCGTCTGCCCCACGACTAGGCAGTCCTCCCGGTGGGATTCTAATAAATCAGCTCGCGTGAAGCCGTGAAGGCATCATTCACAAAAGTGTTTTTTCCCGTCATATTTTGATTGGTCGTGCAACAGCCTGCTGAAGTGTTTTATCCATGCGTAGTGGTACTTACCACCTCGCTGGATCATGAATATATTGATCACGCGGCGATCCCCCATTGGGCTGATCCTGTGCACGATCGTTTTGTTGCCTTCGTGCCCAAAGACGTTGATGGCTATGGCATTCTGCTTCTCGATTTTACCGATCTGAAATATGGGTGTGGGTTCGTCTATACCGTCCCAGTTGAGCCCTTCGTCTTGGTGATAGCTCGTAGGTCTGTTCGAATTAACGTCGGTCGAAAACAAGGCTGACCTGATCGCTAACCTCATGCAATCCACCCCTCTGTTTTTTATGTTGACCATGGCTTGTGTTTTCTTGAAGTAGGCTGGCAAGTCGAGGTATGTAGTTAGCTATGTCTAGATAGAGTTTATCGATTTTATCCATGGCCCACCCGGAACCCCTGTGTGTGAAGCGTTCCAAATATTCCCGTATTTGCTGAAGACTGACATTGATGGACTCGTCTATAGTCTTGGCATGAGTGGCGACTTCTTGTTTACCCCGGAAGTAAGGCTGAACGTTTTCAACGGCACCGCCGTTTGTTGTTTATCGAGCAACATCTTTGCCGTTATTTGAAACTTTAGACTTCCCAAATCGTTCAGTTCCTCATTAACTTTTTCAGCGATCAGCGGCTTGACGTCAGCGATGTCTATGTTCTTATCTACATACATGCGCCAGCCTCTCTTACCTACAGCGTGTTCAGTGCGTACGAACTGTAGATCAACGACTCTGTGCTGATGCAACAGTTCGACGAGCTCGGGCTTCCTCATACGTGAATAACCAGACAACCCCAGCTCTCTGGCTTCTTGTTTGAGTTGTTTCACCGTTGGAGGGGGTTGTATGTCTAGTCAGCTAAACAGCTGGGGTTTCCTCAATCGAGACTACCCCACTACATCTCAATCTCTCGCAATATGCTTGAGCTCTAGGACAGTAGTCATTGTTATACCAAGGTGTATACAATCTCTTACTGTGTGTTCGGTACCGAGTAAAAAATGAAGCGCACATATCACTAATGATCAGAGGTCTGATGTCATCAATACTGCATTTACCTAGAAACATCGACCAGCTTCTAAGGCCAAAACTCGGGGGTGGAATTCGAATGAATTGAATAGCAGGCATTATTATACCTAGGTGTACACAGTCTCTAATTGGGTCACTGGCTAGGGAAGGGAGGTAACTCCTCCTATCCTGAGGAGGCGCCTACGGTCGTTTATGTAGTCCTTTTTCCTCTTGTAGATAAGCTGGTGTCGGTTGACGTTTGCCCCGTGGGCTTTGCATAAACAGTAATCACATTTAACCCCGATACCGCACACGGAGCACGTATACTTTGCGAAACACCTCCTGTGGAAACAACAGTACCCCTCCATCCTACATTTCCTACGGCAGGTCTCGGTTTTTCCCATAAGCACGTACTGACATCGATAAGGAGCAGGTCTCATTGTATGCTCATATGTGTATCTAGTTTAATTGCTTTGCGATCAATGCAGTCGCTGCTCGGCCTATCACAACAAAGGCCAATTCTCGATCCTTTTGTCCCGGGCTGGGTGCGTAATACTGGGAGAGTGTGG